CATTTGTTTTAAAGAATTCAGTTCTGGATCCGTATCAGAGACATGTCTGGATTGATCAAGTTCAAACTTCACACACACACATGGTACATCATGTTGCAAATAGATATGTGCATTTGTTTCATGATCCGCTTAACAATAGCTTAACAATATCATACATATGCCTGTGCATTTGGGCCAGTCCTTTTAAGGTCAAAAATTTACAAAAATTGCACATTTTCACCATACCGGAACTGAATCTTAGTCATGCGTGGGCAAATTTAGTTTAAATTTTTTGGGGGATTGTGTTGAAAATGGCTGACTGGTGGCTATTTTGTTTTACTGAATGCAGTTCAACATCCATATTGTTGCTGCTTTGAATGTATATGTCACTCAAATATGAACAGAATGGGGACGTGTCATTGACAATGACTTGTTACCCTTGTAAATCGCACCAATATGCTGCGCATGGAAACCAAATAACAAATTTGTGCAAATCCCCAGGACTGCTTTTCATAAAAATTTTAAGTAAACTTTTTTTCTTGAAATGGTATATTTAAAAATCCTGTAATTAGATTTTATAGCTCTTACACGCCATGTGATGATTTGACAAATGAAAATCAGTGGATTAAATTTGAATTTTAAATGGGTTTTAAAGTGTTTTTAGGAGAACCTTATTAGTGTGAAAGATGCAGTGTGATTGTTAGTGTGTGATGTGTTATCAGTGGAAGAATTCTTTCGTAATTCATTTCTCAATTTGTGTAATACTGTGAAATAATTTATTTTTACTGGATTTAATTTTCACTGAAAAGACTTTTTTGGTATTTTGTGTGGAATTTATTTTCACTGATTTTTGGCGAGTTCAATGTAAAATATAGGAAAAAAGTTATATTAATAGCGAAAATAGTGAAAATTAATTCCAAACGTATAATAACTAGGGTGAGGGTATGCAAGCAGTGTGATATGCAATGAAGATCTTGCATGAATTGATAAAGTCAAGCAAAAATGTTCACAAATTGAAAAACAGATATACTTTTCTAAGGAAAAATACAAATGATTGTGTAAAACAAATGTTTGTGTCGTGATTTAAATCCATCTGGATAGAGTTCAGTAGCGAGAACGAGGCTACTGTTACTAACATGTGGTTTATCATTTTGATTTGAATAAACTGTTGATCGACAGTCATTTTGAAGACGTGAATGGCTGTTAAATACGCGTTTTTGTCAAATTTTAGACAAGAATTATGCTCGACTAGTAAACTAATTCGTGTTTTTCATTTATTTATGACTAGATAATAAATTATGTATGTAATTAAAAATATGTGTGGTCGTATGGTGCAATATCATTGAGATCAAACGTTGAGAAGCAATGAAGGAATAAAAACATTTCTCTAACAATTACGTAGATGTACATGAATAACTTTTTAAATGTTCGAACTGCATTGTCTTTTTTTCTCCTGGTGATATTACATCAACACTTCCTGAATTGCAAAAACAAACAAAAAAAACATTGACTTCAGTTTGATCCAACTGAACAGAATCGCAGTCGCACATACCCTAAGGCATCACCTACTGGAAGTCTCCAGTGTGTTGGATAGCCAAAATGATGTATTAACATGATTGATATATACCACTTGTTGATGTAATTGTTTGCACAGGTGATGGTCGTTTAGGTGCACCTGGTTTAGCAGGACCCGTAGGTGCACCTGAGGTAGTGGCAATAGACTCTGCATTTGAGATGGAAGCAGAGGAGAATGTCATAGAAGATGACTTAGAATTCACACCACTTGTGGAAATTCGTACCTATTTTCCTGAAACATGGCTGTGGCAATTAGAAACAGTTGGGTAAGTACAAGAATACCAGTGCTAACGCCAGAGAATGTCACAATTTTGACAGGGCAAATTGCCCTGTAGAATCTTGGGATATTTTGTACATGTTATTAACCCACTGTTTGGTTTCTCATTGTCATTTTAATGCTTTAAATACATGTAAATTTGCTGGGAAATTAGGCTTACAGTTAATGAATAACTCCATGTAAATGTTCCTATTGTCAAGGAACTTCTCATTGTATCTGTTATTGAAACTTGGCATGTTGATTAAACATATTCCACCAACATGAAAGGAAAGCCACTACACAAACATTTATACAAAGTATTGTGCCAGTGGTGCCATGAATGAGATTATCAAATGACTCGTTTCTAATCAATAGTTCTGTCTCCTCGTAGTGATAATGGGGAAGTTGATGTCAATGTAGAAGTACCACATACAATAACAGAATGGATTGGTAGTGGGTTTTGTACCTCTTCACAGTTTGGTGTTGGTGTATCAGATACGACAACGTTAACAGCTTTCCAACCATTTTTCCTCTCTTACACTTTGCCATATTCTGTAATTCGAGGAGAGAAAGTACCAGTGTTGATATCAGTCTTCAATTATTTATCTGAATGTTTAACTGTGAGTGATTTATTAACAAGTTTTGGTTTGGTTTAATTTATATTAAAATAGAATTAATACTTTTTTAATATCTACTGCAATTATAGGAGGACAATTATCAAAAAAAATTAAAAAGAAATGTGCAAATATTCATACATAAACTAATTAACCTCAACAGGTGTGTATATAACACATTTTAACTAGTTTTCAACTTGCACACAAGCAGTGTACAATATTGGCAATAATGTGTAGAGTAGAAAACTGTCACTTTAAGCAACTCTCCTTATGCCCCAAGACAAAAACAAGTCATTATTATAAAATTACATCACACTCCTATCACACACAACCAAAAGCTACAGTTGATTAAGTTTCTGTAATAGAATGATTAGTTTTGTTTTGTTATGCAAATTTGGCCAAAATATCAATTGCTATTATTGTTATAATTTATAGGAATATTTTTGTACTCTAGTAGATGATATAATAATTGTACATTGGTTTGTAAATATGTCTTCTTGAAAGACTCTCAAAGTGTCTCGCTTATTCGATCATCTCTCTTTCCATGTGACAGGATGTAACACCTTTGTTGGGCATGCACTTGAAAATTATATTTTTGTTTAAAACGAGAGGGTGTACACACAGGAATTGAGTATTAAGTGATAACAACATGCGCTAAAATTGCAAAGGCTCATGGTAGATGCTTGTTTGTAAACAATGACATGCTATGGCCCACGCTATGATGCATGCGCAGGTGACGAGTCCCTCACTTTAATGTTTTTTTGAAGGTGCTGATTCGATTGTTAATATCTTTCCGCAGATAGAGCTGGTATTGACAGAGACAGATGAATTTGAGAATATGGAAAACTCGGCTACAAAACAAGTATGTGTATGCGGCGGAGAATCAAAAGCAGTTACCTATCAGATTGTACCAAAGACCTTAGGTGAAATTCCAATCACAGTACATGCTGAATCTATTGACAATACCATTTGTGATAATAACGCAATAATGAGCAATCGTGTTGGTGTACGAGATGCCTTATCCGATGATTTACTTGTAGAGGTAAGTAATTGTATACCTTTTTTATGATTTACTAACTGCAGAGGTGTATTGTTGATATGTCTTTGCATTTATCCATCTGTGTGGTGGTGGTTACATTGTATCTCTTTGGCAATGAATACTTTATGAGTCTTAATATTTGACATTCAAATTTCCAGAAATATTACTACAACACTGTTGCACCTGTGACAGGTCAAATGTATTCACATTCTAATTAGCCTTGTAATTTACTTTGCGCATGCGCAGTGGTGCTCAACTTGACATCCAGTCAGTTGGTCACTGAGATTTGCGGCGTGAACATTGCTTTGAAACCACTGAGGGACGACAACCCGTGCAGTACTTCCCCATCTACTTTCCACGTTTATGAATTCACTTTCGGTTTCAGTCGTGTTAACTTTCATAGTTGCTCATATTGGAAATTAAAAGAACACATGGTGACTTCACATCTGCCTGGTGTCATATTTTCTGCGTTACACACCTTTTGATAAAAAGTTAAATATACACTTGCCGATGTTAAATCAGAGAGGAATTAGCTGAACACGTACAGGAATTGACTCTTAAGCGACGAAAACTACATCCACTAAAACACAAAGGCTTGTACTTATTTGTCAACAACGAAATGCTACGACCGTCTGATGCATGTGCAGGTGACGAATACGAATTTTTAAATTGGCTGACTGGCAGCCATTTTGTTCATCAAAAATACTTAATTTTTGTTTACAACTTTAGACTTTAGATTAGATTCAGATTTGGTACAGAGACAGTTTATGATTTCACAAAGATGCAAGTTGATTTTTTTGAGATACATTTTATTTCTTGTATATTACAGTTCAAGAACATAGAGGACTGTGATATATTCTCAATGGCTTGTTTAATTGTTTGAAAAAATATTTGTATGTATGTCATACACTGGATATTTATCTTATTTCTGGCAAGGAACTTACATTTTAATCTCATAATATGTATATTCTATCACTATTGCAGCCAGAAGGTATTGAACAGGAATTTACATACAGTAATTTCATTTGCAAAGAAGGTAAAAATAATGTTTTATATTACATTCTTATCTTATTTGATATCATTTCTATGTTTATTTCATTCAGATTTATGTGTAGGTTGCTTTTACATGTATCATTTTGTTTATTGTACCCAATGCACTATTTTAGCAGTGATTATCAATCTGAAGTGTCATTCCTTGAATTCTTGACTGAATTGAATCTAATTGTCAAAGACTTTGGGTGGTTGATGTATATATTTTAATATTATTACAAATATACCGCAAAGTATGCACAAAGACAGTATAGCAGGAGTATCTGAAAACACGCAGCGGAGGTCAATGCTGTACTGTCTGGGTGCATATTTTGCCATATCCTAGTAATAACCTTATTATACACCTTTTCCTCTCAAGGATGCATCATGGGAATGCCGAAATCCGAAAAGTTTAGAACAGAGAATAGCAAACTTGTGCAATAGCACAAAATTACAGCATGCTGTAACTTATGGCATTATGGTAACAGATGTATAACATTATGTAACAACACCTTAGTACATTGTTATGAAAACAATTTTAACTGATTTTTTTTTTTTTTCTCATATTAATGAAATCAGAAAATGAAGAGTTTGGCATTTTCCAAATAGAGCTTACTTTGCCAGATGATGTTGTGAAGGGATCTGCCAGAGGTACAGTTTCTAGTATTGGTAAGTTTTTTTTGATTTACACACTCCTAAGGTAAATAAATTTCATATGATTTTCTGACATATAATTTTTGCTGCATTCTGTACATTTCCTTTCTTTATTTAGATTCATATTCAGACTAAAGTTTATGTTTATGTCTGTTCATTATACTATGCACTACTTTAGCGACAATTTATTTTTCATCAAATTTGGTTGATAATTTTATTTCTTGTCATCAAATCTATGTAAGCTGAATAAAAACATTAATATATTCAGATTTTATCTCTTCAATGAAAATAGCATAAAATAATTTGTTCTGTAGTACAATAAAGTTATTGAATTCTCAAATTGCTGTTGACAGGTGACTTAATGGGTCCTACTCTATCTGGGCTGGACAGGTTGTTAAGGATACCATGTGGATGTGGTGAACAGACTATGGTAACATTCTCACCCAATATATTTGTTCTTCAGTATTTAACTGCAACAGAACAAGTTACTGCATCAATCAGCGAGAGAGCTATCACCAACATGAGAAGTGGTGAGTATTTCTATAGACAATCTGATCAAATCAAGCTGTACTCGTTTGTTCTATTAGTAGCACATTAGCTTATGTAAATTAAAAAGGTGTTCAATGGTCAAAATAAGTAAAATTTTAATGGTCAGTATAAAACAAATGCGTTTTTTGGTTTATAAGTGCTTATATTGAAATGTGCTTCTAATAGAGCGAATTTGATAAATGTACTATAGTTGTCTACTCAACTTTTGCTCTTCAGCCACTCGCAAACATCTGACCATTCATGAGATAGATTCTGAGTAAATTACTCAAACAAGGCTTTTTGACTCCCGTGTGCGAAGCACAAAAAGGGAGTCCTTGCAGTTAGTGTGTGTGTCTGTGTGTGTGTCTGTTCCACTGATATCTCAAGAACCATACATTGATTTTTTATGAAACTTGGTGCATAGATGCTTAGGGCCAATGCGCAGATTTAATTAGGTTTTGGTAAAAATCCATGCATATTAATTACCTAATTTGCATGATAATTAGCTGAATTTTAGCTGTTCCATGATTGTTCCACTGATATCTAAATAACCACTCATTGGATTTTGATGAAACTTGGCACATAGATGCTCTGAACTAATGCACAGATTTGATTAGTTATGGGTAAAAATCTGCAATATTAATTACCTAATTTGCATAATGATTAATAAATTTTTGGCTTTTCCACTGATATCTCAAGTACTAATCATCACATTTCAATAAAACTTGGTACATAGATATCATAGGACACTGCACAGACATATCAGTACATATTAATTACCGAATTTGCATAATTAATTATTTTTCAGCTTTTTAAGTAGTAATCATCACATTTCAATAAAACTTGGTACATAGTTACATAAAGACTGTGCAGAGACCTTATTAGTTTGGGGGTAAATATTTGTGTATATTAATCACCTTATCAGCTTAATTAGTTAATTTTCAGCTTTTCACCTGATAACTCATGTACTGATCATCATATTTTAATGAGACTATGCAAAGACCTGATTAGTTTTAGGTTAAATAATTGTGGATATTAATTACCTAATTCACATAATTAGTTAATTTTTTCCATGAATGTTTCACTGATGTATAAAGAACCACTAATTGGATTTTATTGAAACTTTTTATAGAGTATTCATCATTACATTTCAATGAAACTAAGACTATGCAAAGACCCATTGCTTTGATACTATACATATTGTTTATTTTCTAATGATATCTTCTGTTCTTTAATTGAAATGTGCATTGCTAACAGCGGAGCTATCTCAGCCGACTGGCTGCTTGTATATATTCATTATACATGTATTCAAAATGGTTGATTTTATTTTAATTAATGCTGTTCCAGAGCAATATCTCTCAATACTCGTTTGACGATCAGATACAAATGTCAATCATTTAAATGTTAAACAATCATCATAATCATATTCCTGACATGGTTATATTCCAGCTATATTACTATAAACAAAACTATATATCTTAAATTCGATAACTAATGGGGACTGTGTCATGCATGGCTTGTTTTACATACACTGAAACGGGAAAGCAAAATAATAATAATAATAAATTTATTGCATCCTTGGTTGACAGCAATAAAATGTTAGTAATAAAGTACAATACATATAAAACTAAAGTAAAGGTAAAATGTCAGTTATTGATATTTCTGATTTCAAATATTTTGTATAAGTATTCACCAATTTGTCTTATTAAGACGTCTTCTCTTGAACTCATAATATATTTAAATATCTGGTCATCACTTTTTAATTCTTCTGGAATATTGATATTATTAAATAACTTTTGTCTTTCTGTTTGGTACCTTTTGGTACATTCCATGAAGATAGGTAATTTGGGTTGGGTATGTCTACCCTTCTCAATTTCTAATACATGACTGCTTATTCTGAAACGAGTCATTTTGATTTTATGTTTCAATTTACGTGAGAGCAAATATGGTTCAAAAGTGTACGAGTCTTTAAACTTTATATACGTTCTCAGTTTTCTATTATCATATGACAGGATGACATTTCCCCAAACCAGAATTCTATTTTTTTTTTTTTTTCACTCCTGTGGCAGTCAGTTGACCATAGGAATCAAACCTCTAATCCCCTGATGTGGGGCAGATGCACACTTCAGGTTGTAATGGCACCATAATTATGTGTAATAGACAACGCTGTTTTTCGTTCGAAAATGCACGGGGCTGATAATGCCTTAATTTGCATTGCATTAACATATGTGGTTGCTGTTTCAATGTGCCTGCTGTTCTGTTCTTGGGAATATTTCTTGTAACCTTATATTATGTGAAATAGATTTTTATTTTTATTATTCACACTTTCCAGGATATCAACGAGAATTGACATATCGTCATGACGATGGTTCGTACAGTGCATTTGGAGAAAGAGATCCTGAAGGAAGCACATGGTAAGTTAAATCAATTTTCAGTGTTTTTTTTTTTAACTCTATGCTACTCTAATGATAGAAATGTTTTTGCTTGTATGATTTGATGACCTGCCCGACATTGCTTTGCAGGTATTCCTGGTTATAGCTAACTGCTTGTCCCGCTGCATACACTATACATACTACAATATAACAAATAATACAATATAGAGATATCAGACCTTGTACCAGTTTGTGGATGTCTGTCAGTTTACCAGATTCAATATGTACCAGTTTATTAGTCCCCATTCGGACGATGTCTGAAAACAGGGACTTATAATTCGGTCTCCGTCAGTCCGTGCGTCTGTGCGTCCGTCCGGAGTCATATCTCAGAATCCCTTGGGTCGATACCGTTCATTCTTTGCATGTGCCGAGTACTTTATGTGGGACATATGCACATGCAGTGGTTTAACGATTCGACTGGCAGCCATCTTGTTTTTTGAAAATGTCGTATTTTGGACATGCTTTGTCAGTTTTCATTCAAATTTAGTACATAGATCATACATGTTAGGATACATGTCCCTGACCGTCCGTGAGTTCCTGAGTCTGTCAGTCTGTCCGTACGTCAGTCTGTCCAGAGTCATATTCAGAATCCTGTGGACAGATTCCGTTCATTCTTTGCATGTGACTAGTACCTTATGTGGGACATATGCACATGCAGTGGTTTAGCGATTCGATTCAAAATGGCCGACTGGCAGCC